ATTGTAAATGTGGGAGGGGTGGAAAGATGGGCGGGTGGGGAATAGAGTATTGGAAGTCAATGGAGTAGGTGAGTAGAGTGGGGAATAACAGTGGGTGGGCAGAGTGGGAAGGGTCAAACAGTGGGGGGAGGGGGGAAAGGGTCAGTGAGTGGGAAGAGTGGAAGGGTCAGGGGATGGATAGGGATGAGTTAAGTTTTGAAGGAGAATGGAGGATTTGCAGTATTAAAAGGAGGAGAGGGATATCTGGGGATGTGTGAGTGAGGGATTGCAAGAGGATATGTGATTCCAAGGAGGGGAGGGAGAGTTAGAGGTTGTGAGGGAAGTGGAGGGATGAAAGGGGAAGGGTAAGAGAAGGGAAAGAATGGAAGGGGAGGGAAAAGAGGGGGGGCGCTGGCCCATTGCCAGACCAGCTCTGGTTAGGAGAAGCAAATTCAATTGGCAGAGTATTCCTGTGTGGAGGGGAGGTGGGGAGCTGGGGGATGAGGAGTGGGTGAAGGAATGAGGGGATGAGCTGGGGGAGTCCAAAACAGAAAAAAATTCCGCTGAGTGTCAACCACTGCGGGGATTTGCAGTGCTGTACAAATCCGTACATTAATTGTATTTGTACAAATATGTACAAATACATGAGGCGTGGGTGGGGCGGCGGGTGTATCGCGGGTGGGGCGGCGGGTGTATCGTATCGCGGGTGGGTGGCGGGTGTATCGTATCGCGGGTGGGGCGGCGGGTGTATCGTATCGCGGGTGGGGCGGCGGGTGTATCGTATCGCAGCTTCTGGATGAGCGCATCCAGCGCCGCTTATCTTAACTGCTAACCCCTCTCCCCTCTGTCTTCCTTCTATCCCCTCTTTCAACCCTCACGTATTCCCTCATCCCTCACTTCCCCCCTCATCCCTATTTCAGCCCCCAATACCTAATAATTCCCCCTTGGTAAGGTAAATGTTGTAACAATACCTGCAGTATCAGATACGTTTATGCCATTTGAAAACATTTATGACAGCAGCACAAACAAAAGCAACGGTAACATCGTCAACAGCAACTATAATATCAAAATCAATAATAATAATATTAAAATGAAAATAATAATACTAATGATTATAATAATAATAATAATAATAATATTAATAATGATATTATCAATAATAACATAAAACGTTATAATGAAAGCTGTTTCATCAACAGTCATTAAGCCAGCGACATTTCAACAGTAAGATCAAGAGCAATAATCACAGCAGCAAATAACAGCAGGTATAACAGCAGCAACACGGAACAGCAATAATCACAGCAGCAAATAACAGCAGGTATAACAGTAGCAACACGGAACAGCAATAATCACAGCTGCAAATAACAGCAGGTATAACAGCAGCAACACGGAACAGCAATAATCACAACAGCAAATAACAGCAGGTATAACAGTAGCAACACGGAACAGCAATAATCACAGCTGCAAATAACAGCAGGTATAACAGCAGCAACACGGAACAGCAATAATTAGAGCTGCAAATAACAGCAGGTATAACAGTAGCAACACGGAACAGCAATAATCACAGCAGCAAATAACAGCAGGTATAACAGCAGCAACACAGAACGCAACAGCAACAACAGCGGCAGGCTTTTACACGGCGGCGATAAAGCAGTCGCGTAACGAGCGTCTCGGCTGCCGATACCTGCTGCTCCCCTAACACCCTCCCTATTCTATTCCCCATCATGCCCCACGTCTACTCCCCCACTTGGTTTCCCTCATCTATACCTCTAAATTCTCCTCACCCCCTCCCACATTACCCTCACTTTGCCTCCTACATAACCCTCACTTTTCCACCTAGATTACCCTCACTTGCCTCCTATATTACCCTCACTTCGTTACCTTCATTACCCTCACTTTGGCTCCTATACTACCCTCACTTTGAGGGTATTCATTACCCTCACTTTACCACCTTCATCACCCTCCACCTGTCCTCCAGAACCTCCCTCACACCTCTCAGAACGCCCTCAAATGTTCCTAATAATCCCCATCTCCCTCACCAATATTCAAAACTTTTCTTCAAAAAAGAGTTTTGAAACAAAAAATACAATATTAAAAAAACTACCACACCTCTCGCCGATGCCACGGAAAATGATGTAGAAAAAATAAAGGTAAAAAAATAAGGAGGTGGAGAAAGAGGCTTTGAATGGAAATTAAAATAAAATAAAAAATTTAAATTAACAGGAGGAAAATTTTTGGAAAAGATTACAGAAATCACTGACAAAAAATGAAGAATCTGATAAAGAAAAAATTAATAACAGGAGATGATCAATTAAAAGGCGAAATGAGGAATTTTCAAATAAAGAGAATTACGGAAGAGAAAGACTTTCAGAGAGATAGAAATAATGTACAAATATGCAGTTTATGAAAGAGAGGGAATCATAGTTAATAAATCTGAGGGCTATTAAAAGATGTAGAATACGACATATAAAGCAGAAACGATAACAAATCCGAATTCTCCCTAGACTACAACTGAACCCTGCAACTATAGGCGGGTTTTCAGCGGCCACCGAAACGCCAGCTACGCTCTGCCGCGTCAATTAGACAGGCGCGTAGACAGGTGAGTTCGATGCGACATCTCGCACTCCTATTAAAAATCATAGGCGTCTCATGGCCGGCCAACTATTGACCAACGATCCACCGGCGTTAAAACTGACAATATTTTAACTAAAGTTAGACCTGAACTCAGGTCTAGTGCCCTGATTGCCGTTTAATGGGTAAACAGGAGTAGTATACCTCAACAGGTGCACGGTAACAGGAATGCTAAGAACGGTCCCGCACGTCACGCTACGGCCGTAGCCGCGTTCGATCGACGGCTTTACGACGGCCGCCTTAAATACGGACGTCTTGAGCGCGCCGCTGCCAAGCGTTTCTCTGCATTTTTGCATGATCTTTATTTATTTTAGTTACTTAATTACTTAATTATTTAATTATTAGTTCTTTAATTCTTAAAAACGATTTGGTCTTAGAGATACTATTACAAGTGAAATATATTGAAGTTAGAATCAAATTCGGAGTTTCTTCATGTCACTCATATGAGTGACAAACGCAATTATTATTATTTTCATTTATTTAATACAGAAAGCTTTGACCTTTGGGGCGCGCGCGATAAATGGTATTTTTCCTGTAAAGTTTGCACAATTTTTATAGTTACAAGACCAACGTTTTCATTAAAGTTTTTTTGTAATATTTTTGTTAACAAATTAAAATATCGATATGTATTTATATAAAATGGAGATAGCGAACTGAAGCTCTTCGAGTTTTAAATTATTACAAATTTACACAAGTAGATAATAAATAATTTCTTCCCCAGCCTGCCCCCTAGGTTGCTCCCTAGGCAGGCTTGGGGACATAAGCAATAAATTTTAATAATAAAATTCAAATAAGAAACTTTGTGTTTTTACTCCTAGAAAAAGAAGTCTATAATCTTTAAACAAAGCAAACCTCACCGAAGTGTGTTTGATACATTATAATACATGCTTGTATGAATGATGTGTTGTAATATATTCACGTGATGACTCACACATGAGTGATGACTCACGTGCGCGTGATGACGTGATGGTGCCCTCATGAGGGCTGCTGTAGGCCGTGTGTGTAGGCCTACCGGGGCCAGGAGCATAGGCCGTGACTCACCGCCCCCACATATCACCATGTACGCATACAAATGAATGAGTACGTATACAAATGAATGAGTACGTATACAAATGAATGAGTACGTATACAAATGAATGAGTACGTATACAAATGAATGAGTACGAAGTAACGAACTGAATTCGTGAAATTCACGTATGTTGTATTTGATTATTTTATTGTGGTATTTTATACGTTGTATTTGAAGTTTTAATCGAGATGATTTGAATTGATATAAATGTCATAGAATAATAACTCGATGCAATTATGACTACGTGGAATTAAAAAATTTGTTGCAATGATGACTATATGGAATGATATAATTTGATGCATCAGCAATCTGATGCAATTCGAAGTCGATGCAATGATAATTTGATGAAATGATAGTTGGTAGCAATGATACTGGGATCTGATAACAATTTGCTGCAACAAAAATTTAATTTAGTTAAGATGCACAATAAATACCAACGAATAAATGATTGAACAGTGTAACCATTTTAAGCTTAATGAATGCGTGATAAGATAGTAGAGAAGTAAATGCAAACTGTGAAACCGATACCGGCATAACTGTGAAATTTGTGTAACCTATGAAAAAATTTGAAATACAATTTTGAAATTGCGTATGAGAGCTGTGTCAATTGTATTGACATGCATACAGGGTGTACAGAAGAAAGATCAATCTTACAGTGTAAACTGAAAACTGTCAAACTGAGAGAAGAAACCGTGAAAACGAACTGTGTGCGTTATGACTATGCTGTAATCTTTGAAAATTGACAAACCGTTATGAGTAACATTTTGCACCATTTGAGCTGAATAAATCTGAAAACTCTAATAACTGTGAAATTGTAATCGTCGAAGACTGTATAAGAACTTTTCTAATGTTCGCATAAATTTTGTAATTTTCTAGTACAGTAAAAATGTGGCCAAAAGACTGTGGTTATTGCAAAATAAGCTAACTGAAGATTAGTGGGTATTGCGGAAGTAATTAAATAACTTATTACAGTTATAACTGCGATAACTTTGGCAACTGAGCTAACGTGTTACAGTTATAACTGCTATAACTGTGAAGAGTTATAGTTAATATAACTGCTACTTACAGTTATAATTCTATGCGATTTACAGTTATAACAGTGATGAATTGTTACAGTTAAAACTACAACAACTGCGACGACTGAGATAACTATTATTGTTGTAACTGAAAACTGTTAAACGTTGTCATCACATCAGTACACGTCAGTACACATCAGTACACGGCAGTACACACCAGTACACATCAGTACACATCAGTACACATCAGTACACATCAGTACACAGCAGTATACAAGCAGTATGTGTAAGTTAAGAAGATCACTTCAGTTCTGATCTCGTCGGTAGGCTATACAGCACGCCTGCACCTGAACAATCCATACAATACATACAAGCACACATTTGAATCGAAGAGTAGCGTGTGTGTGGTCGACTGTATAGGCTAAATAAAACACACAATACAGACGTGAGTGACTTAGATCTGTATTCTTAACAATGACATATAACATCTGGATTCGATAAATGATAAATGCTTGCCATCGATAAATTAAAAGTGAATATTTTGGACAATCGGCAATTATTTTTTATGATATTTTGGTGATTATTTCGAGATAAATGAGAAAGAACCATAAATAAACCACTGCAGGGTAATTAATATATAGCTTAATATAAATAATTAACAACCATTACCTAGAAGATAAATAAAGCCTTGTTTTTCCTAATTAACGCATTAAATTTATCATATGATAAGCAATCTTTCATAAATATCTTTACAAACTCAAGCGTAAATTAAACTAAAAAATTCTGACGTCCCACGCGCATCTTAATATATATACTGTGTTTATTTATTGTTATTTCGTGATATTATAACTATGATTATACAACATTAGGGGAGGTGTTGAAATAGGGTGGGGGTACAGCTCGGTACAGCATGTCAGCTGTACGGTGCACAGCTCGGTACAGCATGTCAGCTGTACGGTGCACAGCTCGGTACAGCCCGTCAGCTGTACGGTGCACAGCTCGGTACAGTCGGTCAGCTGTACGGCGCACAGCTCGGTACAGTCGGTCAGCTGTACGGTGCACAGCTCGGTACAGCCTGTCAGCTGTACGGCGCACAGCTCGGTACAGTCGGTCAGCTGTACGGTGCACAGCTCGGTACAGTCGGTCAGCTGTACGGTGCACAGCTCGGTACAGTCGGTCAGCTGTACGGTGCACAGCTCGGTACAGTCTGTCAGCTGTACGGAACGACCGGGTGCATGCTGATAGCGGCTACTATGATATTTTATTAATATTGAATTTGATATTTCCATTAATATAACTTTTACAATGACTGCGAGACCTTTATCATATATGAATATTACAGTTAATATGAACAGATAAATATGAGATCATACAATCATATAATATATAATCGTATAATAAGACCATGTGCCACTTATAATCATACATCAGCTTCATATTAATACGCTTCATTTTCATGTCATTATTCATCTTCATCATATCATCATTCAATATATTTTGATGATAGAGCCTCATCATCCGACAGACGAGGGTAAAGATGCGGGCTCGTGTCCCGCGGCGGTGAGGGAAGTGAGGGAAGTGAGGGGAGAAGAGGGTAGGAGGATGGAAAGGGACTCAAGAAAGAAAGTGAGAAAGATGACGACAAAATAAAGGAAGAAAAGCGAAAAAGAGATGAAGAGGAGAAAGGGAAAGGAAATAGCAATGGGAAACGTTAAAAAAAATTATTTGGGACATTTTTCCTTTTCGTATTGAACTTTTCCAATTATTTTTAGTTGACCTTTAAACGTAATTTTTGTAAAGTTTTAAAAATAAAATTTGACCTTTAAACGGGGGCACAGCTGGAAGGGGGGGGCACAGCTGGAGGGGGGCACAGCTGGAGGGGGCACAGCTGGAGGGCTCACAGCTGGAGGGGGGCACAGCTGGAGAGGGCACAGCTGGAGGGGGGCACAGCTGGAGAGGG